AGGAAAGCTTGTCACTTACCAGTTGAACTTGAGCATAAAGCATATTGGATGATTAAAGAGTTTAATTATAATTTGAAAGTTGCTGGTGAGAAAAGGTTATTGCAATTAAATAAGCTTGAAGAGATAAGGAATGAATCTTATGAGAGTGCCAAGATTTATAAAGAAAAGATGAAGATGTGGCATGATCGAAGGATTTTTACTAAAAATTTTGAGCCAGGGCAACAAGTTTTGCTATATAATGGAAGGTTAAAATTATTTCTAGGCAAACTTAAGTCCAGGTGGATGGGCCCATTTGTTGTGATAAAAGTTTATCCTTATGGAGCTGTGGATATTAAAGATCCTAAGTGTGAGAAAATATTTAAAGTTAATGGACAAAGATTAAAACCTTATTTTATAGGGGATCGATATAAACTTATTGATGGAATGATGTTGGTTCAACCAGAATAAGCACTGGTTATGTTGGGTTGACGACGTAAAACCAAGTGCTTTGTGGGAGGCAACGCATAATTATCAGTGTGTTTTTATTTTGATTGTTGTTTTGTGTGTGATTAAGAAAATTGGGGTAGTATTTTTGAAATTATTATGTGTTAGTAAAGGCTTTAAAATTTATTTAGTGACCAAGACTTGTTAGAATAAGGATTTGGATGTTAAGTTGACTAGTGTAAAAATGTGCACTAGCGCTTAAGTGCCAGATCTAGCGCTTAAGCGCGACCGTTTAAACACAAGTACAAAATTAATATTCTAGAAGGTTTAACCACCAACTAGTTTGTAAAAACGTGCCAAGGCAGTTTTTAAACGTGTCTAGGAGTTATTGGAAGGATTTAGGCCTATAAATAGAAGGGTTTTGTGAAGGAATTTCAGCCCAGATAATTTCTAGCCCTAAAAGTTTAAGAGAAAGTGAGATTTAGAGAAAATGTCTTCATGGGAGAAGGATTTGTAGAAAAAGGAAGAAACTATGAGGAAAAGGTTCATTAGTCAAAGTGCACAAGAGATGTATAACAGTTTCTTAGCCGTTAGTATTAAAGGGATATCAGAGAAGATCAACAAAATGGAAAATATTATGGCTTTATTGGAGACCAATGTACTTGAGTTTCATGCATATCTGGAGCATATTGGATGGAAATTAAAGATGCAATTTCGCCACACAAGTTACATAGAGGAAGCGGATAAGGCGGTATTCATAAAGTAGAAGTGGATTAAAGAAGATAGTATCAGAGCTCGTCACCACCATCCGTTTTATCAACTCTATGTTACTGGAGAGACTAATGAAAGGCAGGAATTTGTTCCTTCAAATGAAGAATGAAATTATGTTTAATGTTAGAATTTGTGTGTTAGAAGTTGTTTTTTTCAACTGGTTTAGTGTTTAAGTCTTGTTTTTAGTATTTATGACTTATTTATGTGTAATGATTGTTGTCTATTTGTATTTAGGAAAATTTTCTCATCCAAGACTATTTGGAGTGAGAATTAAGTGTTTAAAAGTATTTGTGCTTGTTTGTGAATTAATATAAGTTTGTTTGTGTGAAAATTTGTGTTATTCCTAGCCTCAAATTAAAATAGTTATTATAGAGAGTTTTGACAGAGAGGGGAGTTATAAGAAGTTGAAAATAGACATTTAAGTGCTATGAGACCATTTTGGGGTGGTTTATTTAGGCATATAGTGCATTTTACTTTAATTTAAAAAATTTTAAAAATTGTGCCCTAGTACCTGCTTGCACTAGCGCCTAAGCGCCACAACTCGCGCTTAAGCGCGAGCCAATCCGAGAGGCAGGCGCCCAAGCGCCACCTACCTAAGCGCCACTTACCCGTGCTTAAGCATCGATTCACAAAAACCAGTTCGCGAAAGGTTAAAAGTGAAAATTTGGTCCAAAAATCACCATTTTTACGCCTCCCGTCACCTTCAATATCTCAAAATCGTGATTTTGGATGGCTAGGGCACATCTAAAGTGAAGATTTTATGGTGGAATCATGTGAAATTTGCTAGATCCAAGTTCCTTAAGGTAAGAGCTTTACTTCTATGCAAAAATTTTGGATGTTCACCATGTATTTTGAGCACAATTGGAGAAATTCAAAAATTCACTATTCATGGTGAAAAATGATAAAAAGAGGTATGGAAATTTCATGGGAAGTGTAGATTATACTTTGTAAGTTTAGTTTAGTAATTTAGACTTGATTTTTGAAGTTATTTTTGGAATTTATAAAATTTGTAGAATGGCACCAAGAATGAAGAGGAGTAAAGGAAAAATCCCTTTCGATTCGAGTAAATTTATCCGATTCGAGTAAATTTTTTCGATTCGAGTAAATTTATCAGTTTGAAGGCTCAGGATCGGTGCAGTGATGCGTTGTAATCATGAAAATTGATTTAGGAGTAGTGTTTTAGGAATCTAGGTGGAGATGTAGAGGATTTGATCGTTTACCTATAGTGGGAACGATTCGGTTGTTTCTCTGTTGTGGCAATTATTTCTTTTGTTAGAGAGTTCTATGCAAACCTCC